TCAATTTGATAATAATGGAATCAAATCGGATGTGTTTGATACTTGATAGTTGTAGTTAGTAGTAATATCAATCGTGGTTTCATAATTCGATATTTGGATGGAATGTCGTATTCTTCAATATCACACAAACCACTCACTCACTCACTCAATCAATCAATCAATGGATGAAAGATAGCTGATTCAAAATGCAAATGAATGTTGAATATCGTAAAGAATCAATTCATCATTCACACTCAATAATACTGATAAGAATAGAAAGGCTCTTCAATCCATTGAATGAATGACTGAATGAATGAGATCCTTGTTATTGATTTACAGATCATTGGTTGTGAGTAGTGTCTTGAGATTGTCAATCACTTCTTAGATAAGATATCATTCATTCATTCATTCATTTGTTTTCATTTCAGTGTTGAATTGCTGAAATTGTATCAAATCCAACTCCAATATCACAACCAATCACATTCCCATTCATTTCGATTCTCTCTCATTCACTCTTCATTATCATAATCACGTATTACATTCATAGTTAATAACTAATACATATCATTGAATGGATTAAGATCATAAGCAATGAATACTATTTCTTCTTTTCTTTTCTCCTTTCATCCATTCATGATACAAACCATCTCCATGCTATGTAATCTTTGTACATCCAACTCATATTCATTCAATAGATTGTGACCAATTACACAAATCATTCCAGTACTATTCTATTCACATATAGCATACAATCTGTCATAATATCTAGGAATCATTCAGTTCCAACCACTATATACCAATCATTGTGCATTCCAACTAACAATAACGGAATTTACTACAAACTCCAATCATTCATTTATTCATTCATCGATTGGTTATTCCAGTACTAAGTATCAACAATATTGTTCCTGTTACTCAGAATTAGTTATTTTATGAAAATGGATTTAACAGAATCAAACATTGTGTTAAACCAATGAAATGACAGAATCGTGTTTGTCTGGATTTTGTTTGTTTAGAAGCAAAACTATGCATGATCTATGTAATTCGTATCAGGATGTGCTAAAACAGATCCCTGTGAAATATCATCATTTCAGCTATTGTTCTGCCATAATTTGTGAAAATGACTGCATTTCCATTGCTACTTCATACATATGTTATTTTCTACTATTCTATTACATTCTAGTATTGTTGTTTTCATTCATATTGGCCATTTCTGATTATTCCACACTTACCTATCTTATTTTCACAGTATTCTATTCCATGGAGTATACTAATAAGCCAAAATATACAATCAATCACAAATACACATTATTCTATCTTCCCATACAGAACAATGATGATGATGATGACATAATATCAACTATTCACAATCAATACTATTGAGAATAACTATTGTGAAGATTCTTGTTTGTTAATACTGCTCATTCCTTCTCTCAGATTATAACACGAACTAGCAACATTATTAGTTGTCACATTTAGAATGTGAATTCATTATGGGCATTGATACAATTCATATCACACAATATGCACCAAAATGAAACAATACACATTTGTTGTTATTCTATTGCAGATATTCATTTTCCAAGTATTGAGTCAAAGTATCTCGAGACTATATTATACAGATTAGTCATATATCAAAGGAAATACAACAATACTTGTGGTAAATGAATGATTCATCCTTCCTATTTCTATTGATGAGTTCATCCATATTTGATACATGTCACATAACAAAAATGATCCTATTTTCACAATAACAAAAAGCTCCTTCGATCAATAATAATATGATTTATCAACTTGTAGCCATCTTAAACCTCATTAATATGGAACAATAGTAGTAAGAGAATGACACTATTTGTGTGAAACCTGGTGACAGTTTTCTTTGTATGCTATATTGCATCATGACCACAATTGCGATCCTTTGTCTATTGTTGGAATCGACCAACCGATTCTGAGTCCTCGACTATCGTTCCTAGGCTGTCTGGTCGACAATCATCGGTCAGGAACCAGGTTTCGTGCTTTCTTACTCCAATTCCTTTCTACTATCAACCTAGTGCTCGTTTCTATTGTTGTGTTTGTTGCATCAGTTATACTTGGGTGCAAGAAAGTAGTAGACATACCTAACTAAGGTGAATTATTGTTATTCCTCTCGTATTTACATGTTTGTTTGCTTATTTGTAATGACCGAAAGCCAGTGTGTGTACATTGTCATCACAAATCCATTTATTGTTGTCTATGCAAGTCATAAGTGTCTTTGGTAAAGAGAGAACATGCATTATTCCATTCTCATACAAGATTCACCTATCAATGGTTCATTCGATTGGATCAATCCTTCCAAGTTCAAAAATCCATTTATCATTTCCATGAATGTTCTATTCAAACCCAATCAAGTCATGTTCAATATTGTGGACTCAATCAATGTGGTGACAAACACCAATGGTGAAGAGATAATGATATCGCCTGGTTATTATACACTGAGTGAAATCATTGCTATTCTGAACACCATGATTAATACTACATTCTCAATTTCCACAATGGCTACAAGTTATGAGTGTATTTGGATTCACTCTCCATACTCTATCGATTTCACGATTGCTTCAGATGTACTAGAGATATTTGGGTTAGGAAATCATATGATTGTATTCCCTGCTTCGTTCTATGGATCGAATGTGATTGATATCACTCGAAATTGTCAAGTGATTCAAGTGTATTCATCGTTTGTACGATCATCTGATTTGAAATCGCTAATCAGAACAACAATTCACTCACCACAATGATCATGGATGATCCTGGAATCAATGATATCAATACTGTAAAAGAAATATGTATACCGATGATTCGCCGATTTGATCGATTGATATTTGTGTTCAAGGATATGGATGGTAATATCATACATTTGAATGATGAATTCGAACTCCAATTGACTATTGAAGATGTGTGTGATCAATTGCATACTCCAGTTCCATCGACCAACCAATTCAGTATGATTAAGGTATTTGGAAACAATAGAGCAAGAAGGAGATGCAATTGGATAATCCTCGATCATTCGATAAGTGTTACATATCATTTGTATCATTCTATACCGATTTCACATTCCATTATGTACTATCTGTTCAAGTAGTTGTGATTAATGTAGGTGGAACAGATGAAAGTGTAATATCGATTCCACGAGGTACATATGATATCGAAACGAGTTCTTTGCTCTGTTTGATCGCAAAGTCACCGAAGACGCTTGTCAGATGTGATCGATTCCTCTCTCGGATATGCACTCATGTATTATCACACCGTGGATAGAAACATGTACAAGGAATGGATGAATGAGAAGCGCACCAAGAAGGACTATCGTCTCAATAACGATGAAAACAATAGACTATGGGTTCGATTACCAGATGGAAAGAGCGAAGAGGAAGTGGAACCGATGAACCTGATGATGGATGAGACGGGTGAGTTCAATGAGGTCGTGAAGTAGTATATCTTGAATGGTATGCGTGAGTACAACCAGTGTTTCATCACCATCATGGCATACAACCTCATATGGACACATGCCGAAGAACTAAAAATACTCAATCTCACCAATGATCGATTGGGACATCTTCACATCATTCACAAGGATCGCATCGACGATTGGTTGGAGGATTATCTGAAGTCGTACAGAAATGGTGTAGAGGAACAGGAGACAGAGGGCAGTGGGTTCGTGTACCATGGGTGGATCGGTTTCCATGTCGAAATGTTCCCACTTCGCACATACGTTGGTTACAAACACCACACACCTTATATCATTGGACAGACGGTGGTCAATCCGAATATCGATGACAACCGATGCCTGCAACGGTGTCTCATTCTGGCAAGTGAAGGCGGACACAAGATTATTGCAAATCGCAAGATAGGCGATGCAACCGTGTACAACAAGTGGTGGAAGCAACACGACAAGTGCAAGGTATTCGGAGTGACCATTCACGAGGTGGAGGAGGCGATGAACATTCGCGACAATGCACCCTTCAACGCGAGTGAAGAGAATTTTGCGAGATTGGAAGAATTGTTGAAAGTCTTTCTTAATGTTTTCGAAATCACTCTGTTGCCTTTATGTGATAACAACTCCTAGGAGAAGTATGATCTATTCACGAGCTCTCAGATATGCAAACCAAATGGAAAGGGTGAATGTGTGTCGCTTTGCATCTTGAATGATACACGGGAGGAGGGGAAGAATGAATTACCCAAGCACTTCTTATATATCAAGGACTTGAGCGATTTCAAACATCGCATCTTTCGTTAAAGTGATGCGAAAAATAGATATACAGCGAGAAAAGTAAGATATTGGTTCTGTGACGACTTCTTTGGATAATATTGAGCTGTCCAAAACCATGAAGTACAGGCAAATCGCGAACTGATAGATGATTGTGATCAATATGATTTGTCGAATGAAGAAACACGTCTACGATTCACAAACCAACGATTTGAAATGCCAGCACCGGTCGTCGTGTACACTGACTTCGAGTCAGCCAGTGACGACAAGAACAGACACAAGCCCATTATGTTGTCCTGTTTGGTCGTGTCACGCATTCCAGCCATCCAGACTCAACTGCGGTTCTTCCATGCACCACACGAGGAAGAGAGCGATCTTGGTCCTTTTCAAGGGTTGCTTGACTCGATTCCCAGAAAACGTGAAGAAGCACCTCTTCGAAGAATTACCCCTCAAGAACACTTCTGAGATCGAGAGAGATTATCAATCTATGCCTGTGTGTCCATTCTGTCGCAGGAAACTGGAGGACGACAACGTGAGACATCACACACATGTGTCAGGTGAATACACCACAGGGAAGGGAGAGGTACGCCACTTCGAAGCCGGGCAGTATATTTGCACCTGTTGTACCAAATGCAATCTACAACTTCCGTTCAACAAGAAGAACTATCGATTACCAATTTACTTCCACAATGGATCGCACTATGATTTCACATTCATCATGAAGCTCATCGCGACAATGCCTGGAGATTTGGAAGTCATTCCCACCACCGAGGACAAGGAAATGCAGATCGAGTACAACGGCATTCAATTCAAGGATTCGTTGAAACTCATCAGTAGTCCACTGCGTTCCATCGTTGCACAGACTCTTGGAGGCAACCTCGATTTGTACGTGTACACCAAACAACAACTATGCAAGTACTGCGAGTCTCGAGGCAAGCAATGGGATGATGAATACATCGATTTGTTGACACGGAAGGAACCCATGTTCTACAGTCTCATCAAATCATACGAGTCATTGAACAATACCACCATTCCTTCTCGTGAACAATGCATTGATGATATGAAGGGAGAAATGATGCCCCAAGGCGAATATGATCACATGGTGAAACTGTGGAAGATCTTCGATATCAAGACATGGGGTGAATACTACGAATTGTACAATGTACTCGATGTAACTCTCATGGCTGATGCATTCGAGCACTTCCGCGTTACCACACTGAATGCATTCGGTGTTGATCCCATGCATTACATCACAGCACCACAAATGGCATATTCGCTATTCTTGAAGGTCACCATGGAGGGCGATCATAGTGAGAGTAGCCTCATGACCCTCGCAAGGAAATGGGCTCAGTACATCATGCGCATCAACGCGAATGAGGGACTCGCCGAGAAACAACTCGTGAAAGTGTTCTTGAATCGCATGGGTGAATTCTATGAGAGCAAGGGCATTCGATTGATGGAGACAAATGATATCGATGACTTCATGCGATTGTTGAAGAACCTGCGAGGAGGCATCACTCAGATCGTGAAACGACATGCCAAGGTCGACCTCGCCAGCCATGACAACGATAGTAACCATGATAACCTGTAGTCTTCTTAAGGCATCTACTACCTGGACGCCAACAACCTGTATGGAGGAGCCATGCATCGAATGATGCCTTACGAGTTGGTGGGTGTACCTGAGCGACGAGAAGTGATGGAGAAGATCAATCGTGACCCGAATGGGTGGGTGCAATCACTCAAGACGTTCGGTAAGTATGGATTCTTTATCGAGTGTGATATCGAGGTACCAGTGGAGCTGCACGACAAGTTCAATGATCTGCCATTCTTTCCCGTACAGAAGGCGGGCATGTACTCCGATGGAATCAAGAAGTACGCTGAGAAGAACGACATTGTGGACAAAGTGAAAGAGGTGAATACACCGAAGCTCATCTGCGATCTTGTACCTCGTCGCAAGTATCTCGTGCATTACTTACTGTTGCAACTGGGCATTCAACAGGGATATCGCGTTACACACATTCACCACATCATTCGATTCAAGCAAGCACCATTCATCTTCGAGTATGTGAACATGCTGAGTGAGAAACGAGCCAAATCCAAGACCACTGTGGAGAAGAACCTGTACAAGCTGTTGGCAAACTCAACCTATGGCAAATTCGTTGAGACTGGGTTGAAACGGATGAAAGTGAAGTTCGCTAACACATGGAATGAACGTGAAGCCATCATTCAGAAGCATGGATACGATATGATTGCTGGAACTACCATGTATTCCGAGAATCTCATCGGTATCAAGTTGAACACACCGGTGCGCAGGGTGGAGAAGCCATTCTTCATCGGGTTTGCCATTCTCGACATGTCCAAACACATCATCTACGATTTCTACTACAATGTGCTCAAGACGACATTCGACACCGTGGAGCTGTTGGGACAGGACACGGATTCGCTTATCATGCAGTTGCACGATCGCGCTAACATCGTTCACAAGATGTGCGACATGTACAAATCGTTCGACTTCTCGGAATTGGACAACACGAGCTACTTCTATGGAGAACTCGTGAAGTACTATGAGAATGAAGTGGACAAGAGCAAGTTCCCTTCATTGGAATCGTTCCTCAACTTCAACAAGAAGTTGCCTGGTCCTATCTTCAAGGACGAACACAACGGACATCACATCACGGAGTTTAAAGGACTGAGACCGAAAATGTCCTGCTTGGTTGATGAGAAGCATGTGATACACAATGCAGCAAAGGGAGTTCCTCGCAACGTCGTGATCGATGGTGAGAGAACGAGCGTGAAGAATATCGATTTGTACAAGCGTGTCCTTGAGGCAGAGAAGAAGGGAGATGCAGTAATCGAAGGCAGCTTCAAGCGCATCAACAACCAGGCCTTCGATATCAGCACGAAGGAACAGACCAAGACCCTTATGACGTGCACGGATAACAAGCGATGGATCTTGGACGACAACGTGCACGCACTAGCTTTCGGTCATTATTGATTAAAAGACATGTAGTGGCGAACCGAAATCCTTTTTACTTTGCTCACCAAGACAATACACCTCATGGTATTCGAGGCAGATTGCTCAAAATAGAAAAATAGGTAAAAAAAAGACGGGTTGAAATGACCGAAAAAGGTCGAAATATAGACTGAAAAAAGTGCGGTAAAAATGGCAGAAAATGGCCCAAAAGAAGAGGTCATTAATCTATTTACGCAGAATGGCAGCTATCTGTTTGCGCGCGTTTCGCACTATGGACGGTCACGGCAGATAATGGTGGCCAGGTTGAAATGGCCAAAATAGCCGTAAAAGTTTTCGTGTCTTAATCTCCATTTCCCTTCTACTATCACTTAATAATCGGACTTAATATGATAATAGCAGGTACACATAACTAGACATTCGGTTTGGTAAAGATTGGTTTTAAAATCTTGGCATAATTCTCACATCCCATTCAAGGAAAGAGTACTCCGACCGTACTACCAGTTTCTGCATGTTCTACAGTTTGAATTACAAAATGGCGAATTATAGTTGTCGATAGCGTTTGGATCGAATAGTATGGGTATGAGGATAAAAATCCGGCCATTTTGAAAGCGTTTCATTGATTATCAATCATTATTATTGTGTTTGAAATGTTTCTTAGAGTTCCAATTTCAATTGTTACTCTTCATACACCACTTCTTTCTGCTTCTTTCTGTTTTCCTTTTATTCATTTTAATCCATTTGAGTCAATCTCACAATCATTCCAATTCAAATAATCCTAGATTCGCTTATTTACAATCAAACACCTTGATGGAATGAAAAGCCCTTCCAATCAAAATCAATGATACTCGATTTATACAAAACGGTGAATTAGACAATCAACAATAACAAAAGTCACAACGACATCAAGCCACATCGAAACCTTTTTTCTCACGCTACAAATTTATTCACATTTCCTGTCAATTCCATTATTATTACAACATTCCTCTTCCCCACAGCTATCTAATCAGTGAGATGACTCCTCCTATACTCTAGAATTACAGGAATCCAAAAGCATACATAATCCAACCAGACTTCAAACAACCAATCATTCTCATTTAACACAACACCTACCACTCCACCATGTAACTAACAGCGGTCTCCATGAATCAACAACCTGTGCGTCGTTAAGCTCTTGATTTGTGATAGACCCTACCTTATAAAACACTCTTCCTTTTTGTTCTTTTTACGATTTCCATAGTGGCAAATTCGCTGAAAAGAATAAATACTCTCTCATCTTTTTTTGTTTCTCCACCCACCCTCAATAACATCCAATTCCACGTCTTTTCATTCAACAAACAATTCAAAATCACTCAAAACGAGGCGGAATCTTTATCATCTTCCCTGACGTTGCTCGCACCATTCGATCCATCACTGACAGAGCCAATTCCTCCTTCCTCTGCCCCAAGCTCGCCAGTAGAATCAACTTCACTCCCTCCACTCTCTCCGCCTCTCTCAGCTTTCCATAAATATTCTTCATAGCCTCCATCACATCGCCTCTACAATACATCGTTTTCGCCATTCCCACTTCTCCGATAGCGACAAAAACTTCAAGCAGCGCTCTCGATAGCCTTCCAGCATCCCTGCAAAATCCAACACCACTGTGCTTTCAATCCTCTCTCGCACGATTTGTGGCATCATCGCCTTCGGATCCACCTCCGCCTACCCAACAAAGAACTCATTTACAACAAACAAGAAAAGTGTCACAATACGGGGCGTAGTGCGTAATCAGCTGCCCCGGGGCCACTTGGGCCTCTTTCATCTCCATCGCCACGTGTTTCACGGGCTCCCACACACTCCATGCCATTCCGTTCTCCTGCAAACACGACATAATCGCATGTTCGGACACGCCTCCGCGTCGAAACAGCACGATCTACAACTCATCAACGCTCCAATCAATCAAGGAACTTGCTGCTTTTCGCAGTCGATTCCGATCACTGTGCTTTCGATTCCCACATCGCACACACTGCTTCAAATACCATCCAAATCGCTACATGTCCCCACCGTCAATGATCTGCACTGGCCAATCCGAGAGGTCGCTGTACACGTGCTCAGCACGGGTAGGAGAAATATGACCGAATTTGTTCGCTGAGGGAGCGGCGATCGGAAGTCCCGACTACTTCGCATTTTGATTGATCTACCTACAACGCGGAGCAATTCGCGGGCTAGTGGCTGGCTGGGACAGCGGAACCCGACCTTGCCTGTTCCTGCAGAAACTAGATTCAACAATTTAGTCGGGAAGTACGTTCTTTTGGAAGAATTTCCTTTGCTTTCATTACAATCGTTAAAGGACCTGGCCAAAAGGAAGTTGCGAGGGAATGGAAAATTCTTCGTTCCTGAAAGTAAGTGCCAGGTCAAGATTTTACTTCGTTGCTCACATCGATGTATCGCTCTGCATCTTCCTCGGAAAGAACATGGACAATGACGGGATCTACGAATAACTACGAAAATATAGAATAACCGTTAAAGGGACGGTTCTTGGCTTTAAAAATATCACAAACGGCATCTCGATTGAGTGCATTGGCACCTAAACCATACACAGTCTCTAAAACGTAATTCCCTTCCATTATGTAGCACCAACCTGTAGGAAAACTCACCAGACCCCCATTATGCAAAACTTGGGAGCAAAACAAAAAGTTTTCCGGTGTTGGTTTAAGAATTTGTGCTTTGAGTGAATTCATAATCTTTCCCAACATGTATTTGAAATCACACACCAAGCACAAAAATAGGACGACAATCGGAATTCCATAAAAACGGCATTCCGCATTGAAACCAATTTCTTTTCAGGACAAATTCCTCACTTATACATTTTATAATTTAGAGCATGCCTGAAAAAGAAGACTATAGTGAAGGGTCCTATTCGTACTCTTCCTACTCCTATTCGGATTATTCCTATTCGGATTAGTATATTTGGATAATCGTGTATTATGCTGTAGTTCCTATTCATCGTCGGAGTCAGACTCGAGAAGTAAGAGGAATGAGAAGCGTGTTGAAAAGAAATCAGATAATAAGTAATGAGCGGATTGTGGAATTCAAATTTGTAGAAGTCGCTCTCGCTCCTCCCATCATTCTCGTAAAGAGTCTCGCTCGCACCGTTCCCGCTCTTCGTCTCGCAGTCATGGATCAAAGCGGTTCTTTTTTTCGTCTACCAGCTTACGTAAAGAAATCACAGCCAATCCACCAAATCAACTCCTGCAGCTCCACCACCACCCGCAGCTCCTCCGTACCCCTATCCATCTCTTCCTCCTATCCCTAGCGCCCCAATCGAGCCGTCGAAGCTGATGACTCCCGAGATCATTAACAGCCGTGCGGGCGGCGTGTACATTCCGCCCTTCAAACTGGCCCGTCTGTCTCAGAACCTAGACAAGTCCTCTCCGGAGTACCAGCGCCAGACCTGGGAGGCGCTCCGCAAATCTCTCAACGGAATCATCAACAAAGTCAACGTGGTCAACATCGGGAACATTATTCCCGAACTCTTCCAAGAAAACCTCGTCCGTGGCCGCGGCCTCTTCTGCCGAGCGCTCATGAAGGCGCAGCTGACGTCTCCCGGCTTCACGCACGTCTACGCGGCTTTAATCGCGATTGTGAACACGAAACTCCCCGAAGTGGGAGAGCTTCTTCTCAAGCGCGTCGTGTTCCAGTTCCGCCGCGCTTTCCGCCGCAACGACAAAGTAGAAACGGTGGAACCGCATGAGTCGTAGTTGGTAGCGGTGTCGCTGTCGCGGTTTATCGCTCATCTGGTGAACCAGCGCGTGTCGGATCCGCTGCTGGTGCTGCAATTGATCTTCCTGCTGCTGCAAAAACCCACCAACGACAGCGTCGAAATCGCCGTCAACGTCACCAAGGAGTGCGGCCAGTGCCTCCAGGAAGACATTCCGCAGGCGCTCAATGGTGGAAACGTGGAAACCGAGATGAGAGGTAGAGGTGTTCGAGACGTTCCGTCGGATTCTGCATGAGGGATTGATCGAGAAGCGGACGCAGTACGTGATCGAGCAGCTCTTCGCGGTGCGTCGCACGGAGTTCGAAGAATATCCGCGGATGGCGCCGGAGCTGGATTTGGTGGAGGACGGGGATCAGATCACGCACACGATCGAGCTGAACAAGGAGATCGATAAGGAGGAGCATTTGGATGTGTTCCACGTGGATCCTAATTTCGTGGAAAACGAGGAAACGTGGAAGAAGATTAAGATGGCTATTTTGGGAGAAGATGAAACGTCGTCCGAAGATGAGGATGACGATGACGAAGATGACAACGAAGATGACAACGAAGACGAAGACGAAGACGAAGATGAAGCCGCCAAAGAGAAAAGTAGGATTGATCGGGTTTTCTAATCGCTCTAGAAGTGCTCATCGAAGACCAGACCGATCAAGACACCACTAATCTTCGTCGCACCGTATCTCCGGTTTCCACGTTTCCCCATTAGATCTACCTGGTCATCACTTCGTCGCTTGGCTTCGAAGAATGCACCCACAAACTGCTCAAAATCAACCTGCGCGAAGGCCAGGAGGTCCGAAACGTGGAAACGTGGTAACCAATAGATCGAGGTGTGCAACATGATCGTGGAAACGTGCAACCGGGACACGTGGATGAACCAGTTCTATCCGAACGTCGCGCAGCGGCTGTGCATGCTCGATAAGAAATGGCAGGACGCGTTCTGTCGCTGCTTCATCGACCAGGTTTCCCCGTTTCCACGTTTTGAGGAGTAGTTCGAGAAGATTCACCAGCTGGCGACGCTGCGAATCAAGATCAACGCGATGTTCTTCGCGTATTTGTTCGCTGTGGACTGTCTTCCGTGGGAAATTCTGGGCATTGTGAGGCTTACGGAGAACGACACCACGTCGTCGTCGCGTATCTTCTTGAAGGAGCTGTTTGGGATTTTTGGTTATGGGTTGATGGCGGTGTAGGCTGCAGAAGATGAGCAACCAGCTCGGACTCAAGGAGATGAATGCGCGATTCCAGTCCGAGGAGCTGAAACCGCAGCTGACGGGTCTGTTCCCGACGGAGAACAGCAACGACGTGCGATTTGCGATTAATTTCTATACGTCTATCGGTCTGGGAGGATTAACCAAGGAACTCCGAGAAACGTGGGAAAAGCTTAGGGCTGGGTCGAAGAAGAAGTGAGAGAAGAGAGAAAAAGCGAACAAGAGAGAAGAGAAGGGAGAAAAGAGGGGAGAAACCAGGAAGAAATAGAAGATTTGTTTGTTGCATACAGAATTGTGGGTGTTGGATTATGGAGTGTGCATACTGTGGAGAATATAATCAGGAAACCGTGAAATCGCTGGCAGAAAAGAGTACTTTTGTTATGGTCGATTCTGAGAAATATTGTCATTTCTAGCCAACGATATCATATGCCAATGTAGACCAGATGGGCATTGACGTTCTTTTGTATAACGCCTTGCGGAAGGTGCGGATTTTGATTTCTTTTGATTCTAGCACTGCTTGAGGAAGGTGGCCATTCTATCTTCCGATTCGATAATTCCCATTGTGGGCTCGTCGCCATTTTCGGATAATGACGAAGACTTTTTGTATCCGACAACCGCAATTGAGCGTAATTTTATGCTTCGCGCCATCTATTTCTAGTGTTTTATATAATTGACAAGAATGTCCTTGTTCTTCAAATTCGTTCACAGCCAAAGCAAGTGATTTCTCATATCACACTTCCAATGGTAGGGACGCGCACATCAATTTTCTGAGCACTTGATGCAATTCGTTTCTTCCCTTCATCCTCAAACGTTGCTGTTTTTGTCTTCTGGGGACAGTACATTCTTTGATATTCAGTCCCCTCAAAAATCGTACGCTCCATAGGAACGTATCATCTAGTTTTGTATTCTACTCCACATGTCCCTCCGTCAAGGCTCAAATTGGCGATAAGGCGGCTGAAATGGACGTAATCGGAATATTTTCAGTGATTAGTGGCTAGATTGTGAAAGAAGAGATTAATGGCAGCGGGTTGCTGACTTTGCTCCAAAAATACTGCGACCAAAATTCCATTCAATTTACGGCATTCGTAGGAGAAGTTGAACCATCGAACGATTAGTGTGTGTTTGTGACGGAGGGAAGCAATTTCCGGGACGCCCTGAATTACTTCGTCCAAATCAATGCGATTTTCAAGTGGGTAGGAGACGAAGACATTGTCTTTCCTCCGATCTGGTCTATGTTGGACCCGTGGTTAGATGAAGACATTCTGTAGCTGTTGCGATGTTTGTTGTACAAACCAGAAGCCTCCAAACGCAAATGAATGAATGCCTTCATGGGGTGTTTCTCATATTTTTATTACACGAAACGGTCTAGTGTAGGAAATGTCTTCAAAAGATCGGATTGCGTATTTCTATCACGGTATGCGGGTCTACTTTTGAATTTGAGACGTGTAGGCGATTTGCCCAATTACTACTATGGACCGGGTCATCCCATGAAACCACAGCGTCTGCGACTGACGCACAATCTTCTCCTCACATATAAGCTATATCGTTTTCTCGAAGTCTATGTTTGTCTTTGGAGTTCTTTTTGATGCTTTAGAAACCACACAAAGCTTCCGCTGAGGAGCTAGAGCGCTTCCACACGAAGGATTACATTGATTTCCTGAGCAACATCAATCCTGGCATTATCGACAGCTACAAAGACTCCATGCAAAAATGTTTGTTTTCCTTGTTTTCCTTGTTCCCCAGACTCCATGTCCAACGAAGCGGATAACCCCGTTTTCGACGGCATTTACGATTTCTGCTCCATGTACACGGGCGCCTCTCTCGGTAATTCATTTCGCTCTTTCCTCACTCCAGACGCCGCCTCGCGCCTCAACCAAGGTCTCAACCAAGTCTGCATCAACTGGTCTGGCGGTCTGCACCACGCGAAAAAGGCCGAAGCCTCCGGCTTCTGCTACATCAACGACATCGTTCTGGCGATCCTGGAGCTTCTCAAGTGATCCATCATGTTGAGATCAAATGCAGAGTGTTTCCGCGCGTAATGTACGTAGACATCGACGTGCATCACGGCGACGGCGTGGAAGAAGCGTTCTACCTGACGAACCGCGTAATGACGGTCTCCTTCCACAAGTACGGGAACTATTTCCCCGGAACGGGCAACGTTTCGGACGTGGGCCAGAAAGAAGGAGCGAACTACGCGGTGAACATCCCGCTCAAGGACGGCATGACGGACAACGCGTACAAATACATCTTCGAGCCGGTACTCCCAAAAACGCGCCTATTTTATAACAAGATCATAACGAAGTGCGTGGAGACCTTCCAGCCCGGCGCGATCGTGATGTGCTGCGGCGCGGACAGCGTGACAGGCGACCGTCTGGGGTGCTTCAACCTGACGCTTCGCGGGCACGCGGCGTGCGTCGAGTTCATTCGGAAGCTGAACTTACCGATGCTGGTGCTGGGCGGAGGCGGGTAAAACGATCGATTTGGGAGCGAGGAGTAGGTACACGATCAAGAACGTGAGCCGAACGTGGTCGTACGAGACGGCGGTGCTGCTGCGGAAGGAAGTGAGCGACGAGATCCCGTATAACAACTTCATTGAGTGGTACGCGCCGACGTACAAGCTGCATTTGGACCCGTCGCCGACGCTGGAGAACAAGAACTCGCAGGAGTATTTGGATAAGATTTAGTAGGCGTGGAGGAGAGGAGTGAGGCAGTCAGCAAGTGTGCGAGCACTTGAGGCAGATCGAGGGCTGTCCGTCGGTGCAGATCAAGGAGATGCCGCGCGTGTATAATGCGGAGAAGAGGGTCGGAGAGGAGGAGGAGCGCGGCCCGGAAGCGGGAGAGGAGAGTAGGGAAGGCGAGGGATGTGAAGGAAAGGGAATGGGATCGATGCGCATCGGCAGAGCGAGAATGAGTTCTATGATGGACCGGATGATGTGGATAAGGGAGAGGAAGGCGAGGTGAAGGTGAAGACGGAGAAGGATAATTGAGGTGGAGCAAGTCGAGCAGAAGGAGTGATGAATGAATGAATGAATGAATGAAGGAATGAATGAATGTTGTTTGAGGGTATAAATGTTGGGTATGTTGGGGTGGAGGGGATGAAAACACACTTGTTTTTGCGGCTCGATAACTTTCTTGTGAAATCAAACGAACAGAATTGTCAAATAAGCAATTCTTTGTATAGCAAATCGTTAAAAAAGCCGAGAACAAACCGGAGAATAAAAGAACAGCATCGAGACTTCTCAGCGAGTCACCCACACTGGTACTAACTCGACTCGTGATGACTTAGCTTCCTAGATCGGACGGGTTAGGGCGCTTTCCATCAGATATGGCCGTTCTCATTTTATTCTTATTCACTAACCTATATAAATATCACATTCTTATCATCACTCTATCAATACATAATAGTCACGTTGATACTTGGCAATAATAAGAATATTATAGAAAATAGTATGTCTTCACTGCCTTGTGTTGTGTATGGTTCAGATTTGTATGGAACGTTGTATTATTACCTTGCAATATTGATTTTATTTGCCAAGTGGTACATATTAATATCAAGAATAAAATAATTCCATTTGCTACAATATTGTATGGGATGAACAGCATGAAACACTAAAGTCTCTCCATTCTAGGTTATCACTTAAAATAAGTAACTATTTGCATGATGGTTACAATAAGTATTGACCAGCTACTTTCTAGTAGGTTACTACATATTTCGATGCAAGACATTGCTGATTTTGTAAATTCTGCAATTAGTATTTATAATATCGCTAGTTCTGTAATTCAAAATGTGCAGGGATGCTTGGGTAAAGATTGGAAACCAAATGGCTGGATTTCACTCATTTTGAGTAATAGAGAGTGTGTAGTATTGCAATTCAATAATGGAGTATACATGAATCAAGGATTTGTGGTCAATGAGCAGAAAGTGTTGAAAGTGTTTGGAAATCATCAAATTGGTGATATCTCATATAATGAAGAACAATCCATAGAAGTAGTAGAAGGAATCGTGGATTTGGATCATGGGAGTCGATTTGAAGGATTGGTATTGACAGAAAACAAGTTTGGAATTCCATTTGGATATGGTGAAATGTATGATGATGATGGATTCTTGGTGTACAAGGGCATAATGATCAATTGGAAACGATTTGGCTATGGAACGAGTTATCATAATAATGGATGTATAGAATATGAAGGATATTGGTGTGATGATGATCGATTTGGAATTGGCAAAGTGTATGATCGATATGGTAAATTAGTGAATGAATGTGAATGGTGTAATGGAATTGAATGTGACATTGATGAAAAATATGAAGGCAATGGAAGCAAGCCAATGAATATTGGAATGAAACATTTGAAACTGAGTGACAATTGTGTATTGGTTGATTGGGATGTTACATTGTTGTATAATTTGGAATCAATCGAAATCGGCAATGAATGTTTTAAATCAGTTAAAACATTCCAAATCGATAGATTGAATCGATTGAAAACGATCAAAATCGGAAGCAAGTCATTTACTCAAATGACATCATCAAACTTGGATTATAAGAAGGCAAGCAACAAATCGAAATCATTCCACATATTGAATTGTGAATCATTGGAATCCATTCAAATTGGTGAATACAGTTTCAGTGATTTTGGAGGAGACTTTGAATTGAAGAATCTACCACAATTACAATCCATTCAAATTGGCACAATTGGTAGTAGTTCATTTAATTTCTTCAGCAGTTCGTTTGTGATTCGAGGTAAGAAATGATATGATATTGAATATTTGAATAATGCATAGATCTTCCAAATCTACAATCCATTACACTAGGTGATCGGGCGTTCTATTATTCCTTAACAACAATAATGGAAAGTATTGAATGAATTCGAATGAAATGATTGATGTAGATCTTCCATCATTACAATCCATTCAACTTGGTGAATGGACACTTAGTGGTAGAAAAGATGATTCTTCGTGTTCCTTGATAATGCGAAGTAATAATGAATTGATTGGTTATGATTTGCTTTGTAGATCTTCCAAGTCTAACATCCATTGGTTCTCAAAGATGTAGTTTCGAATATCCTCGTGTAATGACATTGGCAAGTATTTCTGCATATTGAATATTGATAGTATTTAGATATTCCAAATCTTGAAAAAACTGATTTGCCTTATGCATTCTATAGTCTGTTATTTCCTATTGTAGAGAGTATTATTTGTTTGTATGAAGTATTATTAGATGTATCGAGATTACTATTTCCAGAAGTTCGTACTATAGGTTATATTCAATCAATGAACTCCTCCATTTCTTCTATTATTCTTCCCAATTGGACAAGTAATGATATGGATTATACAATATTTGATTTTTCTCGTTTTTTGAAAGTGAAGTCAATCGAAATCGGCGATGATTGTTTTGCATCAGTGCAAACATTCAAAATCGATGGATTGAATCATTTAAAAACCATCAAAATAGGCAAGAATTCATTCAATCAAATGAAGGGTGAACATGATAGAGAATACGAAAAGTCAAACAACAAATCAAAATCATTCCACATATTGAATTGTGAATCATTGGAATCCATTCAAATTGGAGAATTCAGTTTCAGTGATTTTGGAGGCGACTTTGAATTGAAGAATCTACCACAATTACAATCCATTCAAATTGGTACACCTAAAGAGTTATGGTCAGATAATTTCTTCAGTAGTTCGTTTGTGATTCGAGGTAAGAAATGATATGATATTGAATTATGAATTTGAATAGATCTTCCAAATCTACAATCTATTTCTTTAGGTGGTTGTGTGTTCAAGAATTCTTTATCAACAATAATTGAAAGTATTGAATGCACTTGAATGAAATGATTGATGTAGATCTTCCATCATTACAGTCAATTACACTTGGTCATTGTTCATTGAATGGTATATGGGCTGATTCTACAAATAAGTTAATAATGCGAAGTAATCATAAATGAAGTGAAAATAATGATTGTAGATCTTCCGAGTCTGATATCTATAGTTTTAGGAAACTATTCATTTTCAAAAACTCGTTCAGTGATATTGGAAAGTAGATCAAAATGTACAACACGAATTGCATTTAGATATTCCAAATCTACAATACGTCAAGCTACCATTCGAACAGTTTTGTTACCCCTTTAAATTTGTACAATCGAAGTCAATTTCGAGTATAGAATGATTAATTTGATTCCATTAATAGATGTTTCTTCCATTCTCGCTGATCTTGTACAAATCCAATTTGATTCTGATAGCTAATTATACCATTGGATTTACAAACTTCATCTCATTTCATTTCATTATTTGCTCAATGATTATTTCATGTTCCATGATTAATTTACTTGTTTTATACATCTATATTCTATGGTAATTGATTCGGATTCAGTTATCAATTCACTCTTTTCCAATTATTACAAGTCAGATTGTTTCAGTCATTATGTTCCCATCCTTCGTGATGTTGATGTTAAGAATGAAAAATAAAATGAATACATTTCAAAAAAAGAGACAAACTGAAACAATAAAGTTGAAATCACTGCTCAAAATAGAAAAGCACTATTCTTGATCATTCACTCCATTATTAACGATAGAATCAAGACTAAAGTTATTGAACATAATTGTGTTTGCTAATTTCAATATATATTAAAACTAAAATAGAATTTAAATTATGGAATAAAATGACAATAGAATACATTGTTGATATACTAATAATGTATACTTTTAAGTATATAACGAAAAAAGTTAACAATACGACTTGCAACATGTTTCCATGTGATCATTAATTTTATATGAATAGATATATAGTAATTCTATCTATTGGTTAGCGAATACTCGTAATAATATTTAATAACGCAAACAATTAGTATATATGTAGAATGCCAATATGAAATAAGCCACAGAAGAAAATTAAGTTAAGATATGTCATTTACCAATGGGAATAATCAAAAATAGATAAGCAACATCAAAACAAAACAAAAACAAAAACATAAAAATAATGAATCATTGAGTATTATCCAAATGAATACTATCTCAACACACAAATATGGATTGTGTCGATTCCTATTGATTCAATTCGATTAAGTGCAATGAATCTTGTCAAAACGATTCGATTGAAGTCGTTCCATCAAGATTCATTCGAAATATGTGATTTGTGGATTCATCGGTGTAACATCACAAACAGCATATTGAATATACAATCAAACAATGGATTCCAAGAAAACCCATTATCGAAATACTCATATTCAAACCACAACACAAATGGTTCTCGCAATATGCCTCATTATTGTATTGTGATTATCAAATACTGATTCCATATTGACTTGTTCGAATGGGATCTAATGATTTGAATGATATCAATAATAATAATAATAATAATGATCAGAAAGAAAGAAAGAAAGAAAGAAAGAAATAAGAGTATTGTTATGCAATACAGTACAATGATAGATTCCAGCTAATACAATGATCGAACATAACGATTTCATGAATCTCGATCGATTCAATTGCAAAACAACCATTGAGACTACAATGTGTTTGAGTGATTGTTCCATTTGGATTCGATCGAATCAATTGTATAATTCTATCAGTCGATTGGATCGCTATCAATGAATCATTCGATCGATTCTATATCATTGATAATCGAACAAATACAAATACAAATAATAATAATAATAATAATAATGACGAGGATTGATGGTTGAATACTCATCATCAATCTGGTTCTGATTCTGATTCTGATTGATCGATCCTATCCAATCATTCTATTCATGATCAACAATACCAAAGTGATCTAATGGTATTCAATATGCTGAAATAGACCGATGAATAATGTGGATGATGATACAATCATAATAATGATGATGATGATAATGATGAATGGAGATCGAAAACTATCCAAATACACACCATTCAATCATTCAATCAATCGATCAATGGATTGAACAGCCTTTCTATTCTTATCAGTATTATTGAGTGTGAATGATGAATTGATTCTTTACGATATTCAACATTCATTTGCATTTTGAATCAGCTATATTTCATCCATTGATTGATTGAATGAGTGAATGAGTGAATGGTTAGTGTGATATTGAAGAATACGACATTCCATCCAAATATCGAATTGTGAAACCACGATTGATATTACTACTAACTACAACTATCAAGTATCAAACACATCCGATTTGATTCCATTATTATCAAATTGATAAATCCATGTTTTTTGACTCATTGATAAACAAACAAACAAAGAAATGATAGTTGGATTAATTGAATGGTGAATCCAATATGATTTCCAATGCTATTCAATCGGATTCTATTCTATTCTATTCTATTCTATGTATACAGTGATCTATTCCTATTCAATAAGTCAAAATCAATATCCTAATTCAATATCAATCATTTTATTGTATTGTATTGGATTGTATTTGATTATCTACCCGATTAACAATGGATTTCCCAAATGTGGAATAATCCTTCCAATATTA